TGGAGGGCGTAGTGGAATATTTGTAAAAGGTAAATTAACAAATGGATAGGTTTCGGCATATGATCCTTTATAACGTCTACAATACACTGACAGTGGCACATCACAAAGCACGCGTGCACGCACGGACGCACATGTAGCTGGATAGCATTCCATGCAGCATCCCTGCCGTCATGGCTACCAACAGTCGGCGATACGGCAATAGGCTGCACGACAGGTAGCCACCAGGAGGTTCTTTGCAGGTACTAATGTGTGTACTATCAATCATTTTAATAGTGCTACTGGTTGGTTAAGCCCGCCGCACACGCTGTGGAACGCGCTGCGCCATGGTCGGTTAACACTCGGCCCATGTGTTCACGGACGCAAGCAGTTATACAGTAAAACCACCTACATAGAATGGGTTACCTTTGTATGAAGGACACTTGAACACTTCTGATGTTTCTTTCAAGGAGTCTTTATACAGTTACAACGTTTTTATAAAGGCCACCTTTGTACTTTTCTGCAATCGGAAATGCCTTCTCTGGTAGCAATTGCTTGGGTGAAACAGTTAGTTTCTAACGCGCTGTGTTTGCTCGCGCGTATAGGATGTGCAAATGGAGCTCTACCTGGAGGAACTCGGGGACAGTGTGGAGGAGGCGGACGCGCATTGCCATACCGACCCATTCCTCGACCGTCCCGCCTCCCCGCAGTTCATCCCCCCAAAGACGGGAGTCAACGCCGCGGCACAGATCTAGACGGTGACGTGAGTGCAGTGCGAGCATGTGCGAACAGATGCAGATGCAGCGATTGTCGCCGGAAGGCGTGGGGGGCGGTCCAGTTTTAGTTTTGTATCGATGGGGGCAAGGCAATCATTGCCCTCAGGTTTAGTCGAAACTTTCTATGGCACCGCAGCAGGTCAGAGCTTTACTGCAGCAAAGATCTCCTTCGGATGAGGGCATCGTTGTCATTGAGGCAAATTACTTCTAATCGAGACTTTTTACATAAGACTGGTCAGTGAACGTATATGACACTGAATGCATGGAAAGTGCACGGGGTTAAATCGGGTGATGCAGTCGCGGCGGGGAATGGTTTCGGATTCTGTCTAAAGAAGTTTGAGGTGCTGCTGTGAGAAGATGAGGGAGCCTACGGCACTCGAGTTTAAGCCGAACGAAAAATGCAGGGTGAGGTGCATTCTGGGGCTCGTTGCCGGGAACTTATGTCTCGTTACATTAACCTCGACGTTAACTTTTTAACGTACAAGAAACTTCGTAACTTTACCACGTTTCCATCAACAGTCTACGGTAACAAAGTTGACGTTCAGCATATAATGTAGAGACCGATCCTGTTTCCGACAATGGGCCACCCGATCTCCACCTGATCCCAGCTGCACCTGCGGCGATGGGAATTTGATTGTTGGTGTGAAACATATTCTGATTCTTCAGCCTTCTCTTTCTCTCTCTTGCCGGCAGCTGTTCGACTTTGACTTGGAGGGGACGCCGATACTAGAGGTACTGGTAGGGAAGACCCTGGAGCAGGCGTCGCTGCAGGTGATGGAAGAGAAGGAACTGGCGGCGATGGGCGCGCAGCAGAAGGCCTTCCTAGAGCTGTGCAATGCCGAGCTCGTCGAGATGCGGAGACTGGAGGAGAAGGACAGGAGATACAGGGAGAAGAAGGTAAAGTGGGAGAGAGAGGAGAAGTGGAGATGACACAGAGAGGCAAAGTTAAGGGAGAAGAGAGAGGATAAGGGGGAAGAGAGGATAAGGAGAGGTGACACACAGAGGAGATGGTAAAGGGGAAGAGAGGATAAGGAGAGGTGACACACAGAGGAGATGGTAAAGGGGAAGAGAGGATAAGGAGAGGTGACACACAGAGGAGATGGTAAAGGGGAA